CCCCCCCCCCCCCGGGCAACAAAACCTTTGTATTCATTTGCACCCAAAAGGGGGCAAAAAAAAGTGCAGCAGGCCCCAAAATGACTTTTTTTCCGCATCATTTTCACCCCCTGGCTAGGCCAGTAACGCCCACTGTGCAGAACTGGCGGCAAAGTGTTTTACTGGCCCAACCAAGGTGCGAAAATGATACGAAAAGTTATTTAGGGGCTTGCCACACTTTTTGACCCCTTCCCCACAAAGAATACAAAGGTTTTGTCACGGGGGGGAACTTGTCATTTTTCGTCTATATTTTTTGCCTCCTTCGATCTGCAAACCCATTTTTTGTTCTGGAACAGTGAATGAGCCTGCCTCCTTGAGGATGATGACATTGCTCTGAACGAAAGAACGATAACAATGTCTTCAGCGTATATGGCGATGAAGTATGCCTCCCTCCTTTTCATGCTTCTAGCTTATGGATAGTGGTTCAAGCAGGAACCCCAAAAAAAAAAGAAAAGAAAATGCAACACTGATTTATGCTGCTGTCAGACTTACCTATATGCCTGCCACGATGTCGGTTGGCTCGTTGTTTATGAAGAGGAAGCTGTAGTGGTGGGCGCAAGCGTGACCGGTTGACGATGGCTTCGGCACGCGGAGCTATGCGTGCGCGATCCTTGGCGACATCCTGTTTCTCTCTGCTATCTGAAGTCAGATCGCAACTAGGAGGTACGCTGTTTGCGGGATCTTTTTCACGGCATGCGACGGCCTCAGCTTCTGCTTCATTGCCTTGCCTTCTGCAGCTGAGAAGCGTCTCGGTGGTGCCGATGGCTACCCATGAATCCATGACATTTTCATCGGAAGGGATCGGCGGAATGAATCTGCTGAAGCGGCAGGTTCCTGCATTGGCCACCTGTCAGTCGGAGGCTGGGGTGCTGAGTGAGATGGAGCTTATGGCTGTGCCGAAGCGAAAGGTGTCCCCGTCACGAAAGGGCATGAGGAGATCGGGGAAAGGCCTCAAAGCTGTACCTTTCTTGGTGAAGTGCAAGGCTTGCGGCCGCGTGAAGATGCCACACTTCTTCTGTTGCTCTGGAACGCCGAAAGTCGAGGCAGCACGATGACAGCGGAAGCAAGCCTCTGGGGAGTTGCATATTCTTGGGAGAACAGGATAGAGAGGAGAGGGCAGTTTTGCAGGGCGATGTGTTGGGAGGGGGAGGGGGAAAAAAGGAGAGGGTGGCCAATTGTTAGAAGGGTGAGGGAAGGGAAGAGCCTCTGGGGAAGGAAGGGGGGGGGGGGGAGAAGGGGGGGAAGGGTAGCGAGCCACCCATGCGCATGGGGTGTTTTATATCTGAACTGTATGCTGAGGAAGGGACCTTGAAGGGATGGTACTTTTTTTTTTCTTTTTGTTGTTTTTTTTCGAGGACGACTGCCTTGAGATACGATCTTTGAATTGAATTGACCTGAGTTGGGAAATTTCGGAGTTACGTCTACTCATCTGATTCCATCGGGGCTCGAACTCAGGTCTGCGTTACAACAATTTGGGGGGGGGGGGGCATACCAACTGAGCTAGGCCCGTTGATAAGGCATGGTACTCGACGGATTTAAGGACACCCAACTGAGCTAGACCCGTTGATGAGGCATGGTACTTGATGGATTTGAGGAGTTGGTTTCAGGTTTGACAGGCGGCTGGACGTGATGATTCTTCCCCCCAAGGGTAATTGTTGCTTAGATTTTGAACTGCCAAATAGATTTTTACTATTTGGCAACGTCTCCGCCAAGGGATTTGACCAGCTCGCTCTCTCTGTCCTCCTAGTTAACAACCCAAGTGGTTCGTTCGAATGGGAGCTCGGCTTAGAAACCCGGATTATGATTGTGGGTTGAAGCTCATTGGGCAAGGCCCATTCTGAATGCATGCTCAAATGGGGAAAGTTCTCCTGTGCTTGCAGCGGCGAACCTGGTTTCCCGATAAGCAAGTGGAACTGCCTCAAAGATCCACCCGATCCTGGAAGAAAGGGAGACATGCGGGGGGGGAGGAGGGGGGGGGGCGCTGAGAGTACGGAATGGCTCGGCAGCAACACCCGATCATCCTGACGACCCGTCCTGTTGTCCCCGTATGGTTGGAATACTACTTCATCAGGGGATGTCTAGAGGTAGCCTTTTCAGCAGACGAGCGCAGGATGTACAAGCCAAGCGAGGTGGAGATTCTTTCTAGAAGTTGGAAGAGAATTGTTGTTCGTGTGAGAGCTTAATCCACCAGTACTTGGAGGTTTCCTTTCACTGAAGCGGAGTCCCTTCTGCGCGCCAATGAGAAATAAACTTTCTGGCCGGGCCCACCATCCATTTGTCTCCGGTAGGCAGACACCAAGACTTGCAGCATGTGCACAGCCGCGTTGGAGAGAAATGGCTGGGAAATGCTTTGTTTGACGAGGGAGTCGCTGCAGCTTGGAGTTTGATGGAGCTGCAGGTATGAGGCGTATCCTGCTGGCGTTGGCTGTTGCTGTGGTGGACCCTATGAGCACGAGATGCACACAGAGCATCTCGACAGAACATCTGTGAATGTATAGCAGCGTGGGAGGGATGTGACGGAAGGGCGCCTGTTCCGTCATGCAAGTCCGGCAGGATATATATGGTGCCTCACTTTGTGGCAGAGGCAGTAGACATGTCCTCTCTGAAGACAAGAATCACGCATGGAGAACGAGTTGTCGATTGAGGCACGCAGAGGATCGGGACTGAACATATGTGAATGGATAGCAACACGGCAGGGATGTGACAGAAGGACGCCTGTTCCGTCATGCAAGTCCGGCAGGATTATTATTGTGCCTCACTTTGTACTTTGTGGCAGAGGCAGTAGACCTGTCCTCTCTGGAGGCAAGAATCGCGCACAGAGCACGAGTTGTCAACTGACGCACACAGAGGATCGGGACTGAACATATGTGAATGGGTAGCAACACGGGAGGGATGTGACAGAAGCACGTCGGTTCCATCATGCGAGACCAGCAGGAGATCGTGTACGGCTTTGTCGCAGATACCGTAGACGTGCTCTCTGAAGGCAAGACTCGGGCATGGAGGAGACCACGGGGTCGACTCAAGTGACTACGGCTGTAAAATAATAATAACGAGTGATGAGGGATATGGCGGCAGAAGTACATGCAGGTAGTGACAGGAGTGTGTGCATCGCCCTGTGGTTGTGGTCGGGAGCCAAGGTACGCTTGGGTACTGTGCCAGGGGCTGGGAAATCAGTCCGGTCACTCGAGTGTGGATGGCGGCGCTCTGGTTGTGATCGGAAAACCGGTCTTGTCAGCCGTGACATGAAAGGTCAGGTCTCCTGCTGCTGTCACTTTGAGTTGTGCGCGTACTGCAGGAAATTAACTGTAATTTCTGCAAATGGCAAAATGCTTCTGTCGCGTAAAAAGGCACGAGTCACAACTCGAATCTTTGAGTTGTAAATCGCTGATGGAGTGAATGAGTTGTGCCTTCGTTGAGTCTTGGAGACTTTTCTTTTCTTTTTTCTTTTTTCTTTTTTTTTTTTTTTTTTGTTCGTGGATAGACGAGGGCCCTGACTGAACTGCTACCTAAGGGCAGCCCGAGTTTCAACTGCAATTGAAACTCGGGCCCTGACTAAACTGCTAAAACGCAGTTTCAGATGCAANGTGTTAAGGCCCAGTGACCCCTTTTGCAGAGAGGAGTGATGGTCCTAACATCCACCGCCACCTGCAAGCCTCTCTTTGCCGAGGCGGATTCCCCCTGTGCACCTAGCTTTGCCGAAGTGCCATCGCGGGTTTTTTTTTTTGTTTTGTTTTGTTTGTTTTGTTTTGTTTTGTTTTGCGGATATCCGTGGCAATCCCTCCCAGCTCTCTCTTGTACGCTGTTGGAATTGACTAAATTAGTAAATCGACTATGCCAGGTTTGGTAGCATCTAGTCGGTGCGGACGAGGTGAAAGAAGGGGAGAGATGGGAGTGGATGGGGGGGAATGGATGAGAGGAGAGCACATAGTAGTCGAGTAACAAGCAACTTTGTTGGCTGTCGACCTTTTTCTGCAAATGATTGTGCACGATGGTTGTGTCCCATGGATACCCAGGAGACTGGTTTCTTTTCGTCGGTAATGGGTATCTGGAAGAGAAGAGACTATGGACCTCGCTCCACCACTCTCGAAATGTACAAAATGAGAATGAAACTTCCACTACAACTTGGAAAGACACACCACCATATTTTTTGTCTTTGGTGCATGTCGAGAGTAGTGGGAGCGAGGCCTCGAACTTTGAAAAATCTTTGAAGTTTCAAAATTGACAGGAGCGGCTGTGTTACCAACAGACCCAGTCTTGTATTTACCAACTTTGAAAAATCTTTGAAGTTTCAAATTGAAAAAATTGGAAAAATTGAAACCGTCAGGAATGGCGGGAAGTGGAATAGGAACCAGAGTGATGCTCCCCAGAATGTAAATGGAGCCAGGTCCATAAGGACCTGTTTTATTTTTATGTAAAAGCAAAAAAAAGGAATGGTGGCAAGTGGCAACTCTAGCAAACAGGGAACTGGGGAGTGCAGCCGGGCATATGTTAAATAGTTCGTATCGTCCGCGGACTCGCTCAGTCATGCCTCTAAATGGCCAAATGTCTCCTTCCGGCAGTCACCATCCCATCTGGCATCATGTCATCATCGTTGCCCTTAGCACGGTACCATCATCATTATCATCATCAGCATCATCATCAGCATCATCATCATCATCATCATCATCAAAAACAAACATACAACATTTCCCAGCTGCAGGCACCTCTATACGGTTGCGGCGGTTGGAGTCTGGTGACGAGTTGTTGGTGATGTTGTGCCTGGCATGTGTGGCGAAAGAATGTTCAGAATGCTCAGAATACTCAGAAATGATAATGTAATCTGGAGCTTTAAACCGCCAGTACCCGTGTAGGGACTGTGCCAAACCAGTCCGCGGCGGACTTCCAAACCTGTGAGAAAAAACTGCACCGAAGAAATCAGAAAAGGGTGCCCCCCAATCTCACTGAAGAAATTGGCAGCTGTGGGGGCTTAGACCCTTTCTCGACCGTCGGAAACCGTTGTGCATGCCCGTGGAAGTAAAGGGAGAAAAAAGAACACGGGCACTGGAAGACCAAACTGATACTAAGACTTTCCTGGATGTATTATGACCGAATTTCTGAACCGTGCTGAACGAACCCGACGACAAATCTGTCCGGAGAGAAGTGGAAAAAGACTTAGTTTCAGTATGCCCTAAAGATCAGACAGTACCCCACATTGCTCGCCTGTCCAGGCTGGTGATTCGTCCCCTCCTTTACCGACAGGCCGTGGGAAATGCCAGTTTTCCTTCTTTTTTTTTTGTTATTGTCTTACAAATTTTGTTAGGGACAGTCGGACTTTCCCGTTAGAGTCGGCCTTACGCCGCATGTGATTTATTCTTGGTTGTCGGGAGCAGCAGCTCAAAAACAGGCTCCAGTCTATTCGTGGGGAGCAGCACGAGCTGAGAACCAGGCGCAGCGTCCCACATGAAAAATCATAGAAAAACCATGAGATGAGATGAGATGAGAGAGAAGACAGGTGCTGGAAACCGGGTCCAGCGTCCCATCACTGTCTGTCCTGCATTCCTAAAACTGAGGCCCAAGGCCAGGGCCCAGCCAGGGCCACAGGGAGACACCAGCGGTCCCTGTCTGTTCCCCGGCCCGCCTTCGAAAAGGCACTAACTACACTAACTACACTGCTGCGCTGTTTTCTTTTTTTTTTCGTTTTTGCTTCCACAAAGGTTTGTCCCTTCTTGGATGTGGAAGTGCTTGCCATTTTTTTCCTGACTGCATTTGTCAAGGGTGGCAAACTGCCTCACTCTTCCCTCCCCCCCCACCCCACCAAAAACAGCGCCGGTTACCAGCACCTCCCCGGGCCTTCGCCGAGCCTACAGAATGCCCTTCCGGCATGCTCGGAGGTCGGGTTTCGTAGCTGGGAAAGGTACTGGCGGTTTAATCTCACGGAAAGGATTACATCATCAGAGTAGAGCGTAAGGAAACTTGCGCCCACTGTCCTTCCACTCCGTCTCCACTCAGATTGTGTTTGAACCATAGTCCGGAGATGTGCACTTATACCCTTTCTAACGTGTGGGATAGCCCTCCCCGTATTCGACTACAAAATTTGAAAAACATAAAAAACATTCAGAAAACATTAATTGTAATAGTAAATTCTAAATTACAAAAAAATATATGGATCTTACGAGACGTCCTCAAATTTGTCCCAGTCAAGGTCCAAAGTTCTCCAAACGTCACCGCTCAGTCCTGGGGGATGATTTCCGATCGAGCCAGTGCGAGACAAAGTCCGCTGCACGTGCGACCTGGTAACTTGGAGCAGCTGGCATTGAAGTTGAACTCTCTCGAAGAACGGTTTTTCTTACTCCCTGCCTATTGCACCAAGCATCTCTGGATCCAGACAATAAATCTCCAGCATATTATTCGCAGTGAATCACTTCTGGGATATCTCACTGGTCGTCAGCCCGTGTCCAAGCCATCCACTTTTCACTTTCTCTTTCAGCCCGTGTGTGGCAGCACAGGGTATCGGGGGCTGTGCAGGGGGGAGGGGGGGAGGGAGCAGGGAGGGGTTATGGGATGCCGAGGGTCGGGATAGAGTTCCGCACTATGTAGTCCATTTTGTTTTTGGGTGCAGCCCGTAGATGGAGTTTGCAGGAATCATCCATCTTTGCCGTGCCATGGACTACGGTTGCCTGTGCAGTGTGGTCACCAGCTGTATGTTCCATTGCATTGTCCTGATTGTGGTGGGTTTGACTGCACTTCTTACTGGTTGATGGTTAGCTGTAGTGGCCAAGTCTCCAGTGTTTTGCTCAGATATTGGACAGGTCTTTTGCAGGGTGCTCTGTTCTTGGTGATTTGTCAGTCCTGGCAGGCATGTTGTTCGTTGGCAGGGTTGAGAG